GCACCGAGGAGACGTGCGGGGCCAAGCCCGGGGGGGGGGGGGCGATCCTGTGGAAGAAGAGACTCGTCTAGGGGAACAAAAGGTGACATAAGCATGAAAACTCGAAGGTCCGCGCGGATTCCTCGGAGCGGCGCTGGGGCCCCCCGGCGGCGCCTCCGGCGCCGCCCCTGGCGCGCTCCGCGCGCCGGGGAGGGGGGTCCAGCGCCGATCCGAGAAATCCGCGCGGACCTCCGAATATTTATGTTGATGTCATTTGTTGTTCCCCTATAGCCATGCCGACGGCAGTGCCCCACACGAGAGCCTTCCAGGCGAAGCCGGGAATGATGCCCCGCGTCGTCCTCGTGACTACGGAGGCTCGTCGTCCTGTCTGCGACCTGTTGGTCCTCACGAGCGCTTACAAGCTTGATTGAGGATGGCCGCCTCGGATCAGGACCACCGGCAAAGGAACGACGCTCCCGCTCGAGAGCGTCTCAAGATCCAGACTCCCATGTGTCACCAAGCCTGTGCATTCACAACGTATTTCGATGGCCGTCACGGATCAGTAACATGAATCAGAGCGACCATAGCGAAGGCTCACGCTCGAGACTTCCTCCCTAATCACTTCCAGGCGAGCGCCCGACACAGCTTGTCAACCTGCTCAGAAACGCGGCAACCGCTCGACAGATCCTCTTGATTCAAGCTCCCAGTATTCCGATGGCCGTTTCGGATTACCAACAGAAGGTGGGGACCCGATAGGGGGGGGTCCGCTTGAGACTCCGTCGCGATTCACTCACAGACGAGTGAGCGTCCGAGACACCCTCCAAGTTTGCTCAGAGAGAGGCTCTCGCTCCAGACATTCTCGGAATTCTGGCTCCCAGGTGTCACCAACCTTGTGTTTTACAAGGTATTCCGATAGCCGCCTCGGATTCGAACATGGAGATGGGGACCACATGGGGATGGGCTCCCTCTCGAGACCCCTTTGCGATGCATGCAGAAATGAGTGAGTGCCCGAGGCATTCCTTCTTTTCGCTCAAGAACCTGATGTAGTTGTCCAACCATCTTGTAGAGACAGAGCCCCGCGTCCTCCCTCCTCCTCCCCCTCCTCCTGCTCCTCCCATCATCTTCCCTCTACCCTCCGCTTGCCAACCTGTCCGGCACACCCCATACACGCTTCGTGATCACATATCGGGATCCACTGAAGGTCACAGTGGCAAAGTACACATGCGCGCCAGTTGGGCGCACCTTTCACACGCTTCGTGGCCCCATATGGAGCCCCTCCGAAGGTCCCAATGGCAGAGTCCACATGCGATTCCTAACCAAGTTCGACACACCTCTCACGTTTCGCGGCCCCATGGAGCTCCACAGAATGCCCCAGTAGCAAAGCCCACATGCAGTTCCTTGCCTACTTCGGCACACCCCTCACACGCTTCGTAGCCTCATAGGGAGCTCTACCGAAGGCCCCAGTGCTACCGCCCACATGCGTCGCCCACACCCATTTCGGCACTCCCCTCACACGCTTCGTAGCCCCACATTGAGCTCCACCGAAGGCCCCAGTGCCACCGTCCACATGCGTCCCCAACACCCATTTCGGCACTCCCCTCACATGCTTCGTGGCCCCACAGGGAGCTCCACCGAAGGCCCCAGTGCCACCGTCCACATGCGTCCCCCACATCCATTTTGGCACACCCCTCACACGTTTCGTGGACCAATCGGGAGATCCACCGAAGGCCCCAGTGTTACCGTCCACACGCGGTTTCCCGTGCACGTCGGCTAACCACTCACACGCTTCGTGGCCACACCGGGAGCTTCACCGAAGGTCCCAGTGTCACAGCTTGCGTGCGGTCACGCACTTCCTTCGGTACACTCCTCACGCGCATCGTGGCCCCATAGGGAGATCCCCCGAAGGTCCCAGTGGCGCAGCCCGCATGCGGTCGCACACACACACACACACACACACACACACACACACACACACACACATTTCGGTACACCTCTCACCCGTCACGTGACCCCACGGGGAGCTCCATCGAAGGCCCCAATGGTACAGTCTACTTGCGATCTCGCACCCTTCCGGTATACCACTCACACGTTTCGTGGCCCAAGAGGGCTCCACCGAAGGTCCCAGGGGCGCAGCCCGCAAGCGTCCGCCACATCCATGTCGGCACACACCCCACACGTTTCGCCGCCCCATATGGAGCTCCACCGAAGGTCCCAGTGGCGCAGCCCGCATGCAGCCGCCCCATTAATGTGAGCACACCCCTCACACGTTTCATGGCCCCATATGGAGCTCCACCGAAGATCCTAGCTCGCTGCCCGCATGCGTCGGCCCCACCCATTTCGGCACACCTACCGTCACGCGTTTCGCTGCCTCACATGGAGTTCCACCGAAGGCCCCATTCGAGTTGTTCGCAAGCAGCAGCCCCACCCATTTCGGCACGCCCCTCGCGAGCGTCGCGGCCCCATCATAAGGGGGCCCCACCGAAGACGATACCCACAGCTGCGGGAGCCACAGCTACATATGGTTGCTGCCTGGGCCCCTCGCCCGGATAATTCACTTTGTTTCCCGATGGCTGTTTTGGATTCGAATGTGGAGTTGGGGTCCCCGTAGGGAGGGGCGCCCGCTCGAGTCGTGCTGGCGTCTCACTGACAGACAAGTGAGCGCCCGAGACAGCCAGTTTGCTCAGGAACGAGGCTCCCGCTCGAGACGTCCTCGGGATTCGGGCTCCCAGGTATCACCCAATGTGTGTTTTTACCGGGTGTTCTGGCGGCCGCTTTTCGGCGACTACAATCGGTGCGGTTACGCCAGGGTGCGGTTTGCGAGTTGCTTTGTGGTGGCCTTTCTGGGGCCTTTGCGAGAGACAATGTCATAATTGTCGTCGTTTCGAGCGACACTGTCATCCTCGATGTGTGCTCTACTGTACTAGAAGGAGCGACAGTGTCATGTGATTCGGTCGCATTGAGTGACAGTGTCATCCGTTTCCCGGGGGCGGGAGGGGCAGATATGACGGGACGCAAACCGCACCCTTCGCAAACCGCACCCATTGTAGTCGCCGAGCTTTGGATTCGAACATGGAGGTGGGGACTCCATGGGGAAGGGGGGCGTCCTCGCGGTGCATTCGCAGACCAGTGAGCTCCCGAGACATACTGCGAATTTTCTCTGGAACGAGGCTGCCGCCCGATGTCCTCGGGATTCATGTTCCCAGGTGCCATTAAGACGTGTTAGTTCACAGCGATCCTGTGGTGTCGGGCCCTCGCTTTGAAGAGACAGCGCCCCGCGCTTCTTCCTCTCCTCGCCTCCTTCCTCCTCACCCGAGTCCCCCCTCCCCATCCTCCCATCTCTGCCTCTGCCCTCCGCACCCAGTACGGCGTTTCGTGGCCCCATAGCGAGCTCCACCAAAGGTCTGAGTGGCGATGTTCGAATGCGCTTCGTGGCCTCATAGGGAGCTCCACTGGAGGCCTCAGTTTCCTTTGCTCGCATGCGTCTTTCGCGCCCAATGCAACGCTTCGTGGTCCCATGGGGAGCTCCACCGAAGGCCTCAGTGGCTTTTGTTCGCATGCGTTTTCCCCGCCCAGTTCAGCGCTCCGTGGCCCAATAGGGAGCTCAACCGAAGGCTTCATTGGCGGTGGTCGCATGCGCCTCCCCACCCAAACAAGCGCTTCGTGGCCCCATAAGGCTCCACTGAAGGCTCCAGTGGTGAGGTTCGAACACGTCTCCCCCAACACGCACAGCGCATCGTGGCCAAATAGGGAGCTCCACCGACGGCCCCAGCGGCTGTATGGCGGTTTTCGTATGCGTTTCCCGCACCCCCATACACCCCCATAGTGCGCTCCACCGAAGGCCCTAGTGGCGGTGTCCGCATGCGTTCCCCCAGCTTGTTTCCTTGCCTGATAATGAATTCCACCGACGGCGCCAGTGGCTGTGTTCGCATGCGCCTTCCTAGCCCAGTACAATGCTTCGTGGCACAATAAGGAGCTGCACAAAAGGCTTCAATGGCGATGGTCGACTGGCGCCCCTCCCGCCCAATACAGCGCTTCGAAGCCCCATGGGGACCTCCACTGGAGGCCTAAGAGGTGGTGTTCGCATGCGTCTCCCCCGCCCAATACAGCGCTTCGTGGCCACATAGGGAGCTCCGCGGAAGGCCTCAGTGGCGGTGTTCGCATGCGCCTTCCCCACTCAGTACAACGCCTCGTTGCCCCATATGGAGCTCCACCGAAGGCCCTTTGTGGCGGTGTTCCCATGCGTCTCCCCCAATCAGTGCAGCGCTTCGTGGCCACATAAGGAGCTCCACCGAAGGCCTCACCCCCGCCACGTGCAGCGCTTCGTGGCCCAATAAGGAGCTCAACCGACGGCTTCAGTGGTGGTGTTCGCATGCAGCTCCCCGCCCAGTACAGCGCTTCGTGGCCCCATAAAGCTACACCGAAGGCCCAAGTGGCGGTGTTCGCATACGGCTCCCCCGCGCAGTGCAGCGCATCGCCGCAGCGGCTGTGCGCATGCGTCTCCCCCACCCAGTACAGCGCTTAGGGAACTCCACCAAAGGCCCCTGTGGCGGTGTTCGCAAGTCTCCCACACACCCCTGGGGAGCTGCACCGAAGGCCCGAGTGGCGGTGTTCGCATGCCTCCGCCCAGCTCAGTGAAGCGCTTCCTTGCCCCATAGGGAATTCCACCGAAGGCCCCACTGGCTGTGTTCGCATGCGCGTACCCAGCCCGGTACAGCGTTTCGTGGCCCCACAGTGAGCTCCACCGGCGGCCTCAGTGGCGGTGTTCGCATGCGTCTTCCCCACACAGTACAACGCTTCGTTGCACCATAGGGACCTCCACCGAAGGCCCCTGTGGCGGTTTTCCCATGCGCCCCCCCAATCAGTACAGCGCTTCGTGAGCTCATAGTGAGCTCCACCGAAGGCTTCATTGGCGGTGTTCGCATGCGCCTTCCCCACCCAGTACAGCGTTCCGTTGCTCCCACAGGGAGCTCCACCGAAGACCCTTGTGGCGGTGTTCGCATGCGTCTCCCCACCTAGTACAGCGCTCCGCGGCCCCATCGCGGTTTCCACCTACAGCTCCATTGGCAGTGCCCACATGGCGGCCCCGCCCCATACCGGCAGACCATTTGCATTCTTCATTGCCCCATGAGGAGATCCCCCGAAGGCGGTACCCGCAGCGACGGTATTCGGATAATGTGCATGGTGTTCCGATGGCCGATCTGGATTCTGAGTGACGAGGTTCCCGATCGAGACGTCCTCGGCATTCAGGCTCCCAGGTGTCACCAAAGCTGTGCGTCTACTGGGTGTCCGTGTGGCCGCTTTAGATTCGATCTTGAGGTGGGGACCCCACAGGGAGGGGCTGCCGCTCTAGACTTCTTCGCGGTTCACTTGCTGACGAGGTTTCCGCCCGAGATTCCCTCAAGATGAATGTGCGAGCGTTTGGGCGAGTGTGTGTAATGATGATAAGGATGGTGGTGATGATGGTGATGGTGCTGGTGCTGGTTCTGGTGATGTTGTTGATGGTGGTGATGATGATGCTGATGGTGACGATGTTTATGGTGATGGTGGTGGTGGTGGGAGGGTGATGCGAGGAGGAAGGGGGTGCGGTTCTCTTTTGCGTGGGGTGTCC